GAGAATAAACATATAAAATCCGCCCGCGCCGAAGGTGCTCAGGGCGTGATCATCCGGAAGGCATACACAATTGTAAGGTACAAATTTACCTAGAGGGGGAATTTTTTGGTGAAAACAATGCGTTTTTGATAGGTCGCGACGGTTGGCTTCATTTTTTTGCCAGCACGGAATAGACTAATTCGTGCACGCACCCGCCCGGAACCGGCAAGAGAAAAGTGAAAAAAATACATATATATTTTTTTCCTTTGGTATTCGGTTTGACGCGTATTTTTTCCATGTGTTTTGTCGGGAGGCCGGGGGGACAGATTTTATGATTTCAACATTTTTTGGGTGACGATACATTGCCAAGGCTTGAATTCTTTGCGCGAAAATGTAAAAATAATTCGTAAATAGCAATGCTTTTTTGCGACTATGTTAATACGAACATCGCAAATTGCATTTTTTTAACAACAACATGAATAATACTACAAATAATGGTAATTTCTACCTCACAGAACATAAAAACATTATAAAATACGATATATAATTGCATTTTTAAGAATATCAACTTAAACACATATATATATATATATAACTATTATAAAATATATAATAATCCTCAACGACAAGAAATACTTAAAAAAACATATCATATTTCAATCACTACCCCAAATTTAGAATATTCAACACCAAATAACCATCGAAATGCCGAAATAATCCACTTCGGAATAAAACGGTCAAAGAGGAAGAGAGGAAGGCATTATATTTAGACAAATATCAATTCCAAGGAAAAAAAAAAACCCACATTTGCTTCTTTCGTAATTTCTATTTTCGATTTGCTTTCAATACTGCGGCGATATTATTCTCCATATTAATCAATTTTTAATTATTAATCAATTAATCAATATATTAACACTTCATCGACATACTTTTCATTAAATACACAATATATTTATACCATTACCATAAACATCAAATAATATTCTTTAGCTTTCTAGAAATAATTCAACATCCAAAATCGTCGAGAAATTCAGATTTCCACGTAAATCGCGAATCTCGGTTCTCGCATCTCGAATCTCAAATAACGTGCAAATATCGGATCATATTGGTTTTTCGGGGCTTTAATCCAAACATCAAAAGTGTCGAGGCCATATAGACTGCTTTACAACCATTTCTATTCAAATTTTTCTAGCAGACAAAAATGCAATCGTTCCCGGCATTCCCCCTCCTAGTGAATTCGTTACGCATAATAAACGACCCCAACCAAATCAATAAGTGATAGGCAATAAACAGAAAAATTTAATCCTTTAGATAAAAATAATTCAATATAAATTAATGTATATCAACATAAGATGTTGCAAATAAGGACCTCTTCGGACAAAAATAATGCAAACAAACATCAGACAAATCCAAAATACGAAGCCTATCTATATTTCTACTTAAATACATTTGCTTTAATATATTTAATATGTATTAAACCAAATATTTTTATCGACAAAATCCACGCAAAGAAATTAAACATCAACAAAATAAAATTTAAACACGATATTATTAATTTTCCCAATCAAAACAATATTTTTTATATATCGTATTTAATATTAAAACAACATATTATTAACAACAAAACACAATTTAATTTATTTACACGACAACTATATTTAAGAACCAATCCTTCTTCAAATCCAATCGGTATTCCTTTCGATTTTAAATTTATATCGCATAACGCCATAAATACCTTTATATTAAAAATATCGCGAAAATTATCAAAATCAAATTTAATTCAAACTATTTATTAAGGTAATATATAATATTCATTTATATATAACTATATTTTTAAAATCATTAAACAAAAATTACATCGTCGAAAAAACAACACACAATCGAATTAACTTAAATATAAAACATAAATAAACATACAATAAATAAATAATATATCCTAATAATATTACAAAAAATTCTATCAATAAATATATATACATAATTCGAAACACATAAAATATTAATATTTTTTTACATTTGAAAAAAAAAAAAACGATACTTAATTAAATATTTAATTTTAATATTATTAGACACATATAATTCGAAACTAATATATTTCTTAAAATCCAACGTCTTCTAAAACATATCATTTAAAAATTATTTTATCAACATCCATTTCGAAACGATTATTTTTTTTATTCAATTTTCGTAATACTAAATACAAACAATATAATATTTATTCGACGCCTCCTAAATCAATAAACATAAAGAAATATATAATTAACAATTTCATTCATTCACTTCCAGCCTAAAGTAGTTTCAGGCCCGTGTTGAGCAGCACAGCTAAGCGATGCAAGCGAAAAACTTTCGAAAAGGCGCAATCGGCCTAGCTACAAAAGGCCGTAGCCAGCAAGTCGGACAGGTCGACGGTCTGTTCTTCAATGGGCCTCCGCCACCAAACATTCAAGTCCTCCTGCGGGACCAACCAAATCAGGTAGGCAAAGCGACGGACGGGGTCTATGACCGGGCACCTAACGGTCGATCTGCCATCGTCTATCATCCAAAAGCTTATCCAAAATCGATAATAATAAACATCAATATTACTATTATCAAAATTTAACATTCATTACGAAATTTAATTTTAACAAACCATAATTAAATAAATCGGATTTTTATCGATAAAATTAGTTTTATTTATACATTCAATATTAAAGAAAAGAAAAAACAACTCAATAACCAAAAAATCAAAAAATAATAACAACATATTATTTATTACTCGAAACAAAAAATATATATATATATACATTTTAATATAAATATCTTTACACAAATCTCCTTTTCGACCGGCCGGCACACAAACCTCAAAGGCCAATAACAAAATAAATCAAACGTAAAGCATATTCAATATTTCCTTTCAACTTTCACTTTTTTCCCCAATAGCCATGCTATGGGGTCTTGCAAAACTAATAGGCGGACGGGCGCCGTCGGGTCACAGTCAGAGCTGGTGGGCGGATGGTGTCCTGGTCATGTTGTGATGGGGTGTCCGGGTCGTGTTGTGATGGTGTCCCGGTCGTGTTGTGACGGTGTCCCGGTCCTGTTTTGATGGTGTCCCGGTCATGTTGTGGCGGGGTGTCCAGGTCGTGTTGTGATGGTGTCCCGGTCGTGTTGTGACGGTGTCCCGGTCGTGTTGTGACGGTGTCCCGGTCCTGTTGTGACGGTGTCCCGGTCATGTTGTGACTGTGTCCCGGTCATATTGTGTTCATGTTGTGACGGTGTCCCGGTCGGGTTGTGATTGTGTTCCGGTCGTGTTGTGATTGTGTTCCGGTCGTGTTGTGATTGTGTTCCGGTCGTGTTGTGACGGTGTCCCGGTCATGTTGTGACGGTGTCCCGGTCATGTTGTGACGGTGTCCCGGTCATGTTGTGACGGGGTGTCAAGGTCGTGTTGTGATGGTGTCCCGGTCATGTTGTGACGGTGTCCCGGTCATGTTGTGACGGCGTCCCGGTCATGTTGTGACGGTGTCCCGGTCATGTTGTGACGGTGTCCCGGTCCTGTTTTGATGGTGTCCCGGTCATGTTGTGACCGTGTCGCGATCATGTTGTGACAGTGTCTCGGTCATGTTGTGACGGTGTCCCGGTCATGTTGTGTTCATGTTGTGATGGTGTCCCGGTCGCGTTGTGATTGTGTTCCGGTCGTGTTGTGATGGTGTCCCGGTCATGGGGGTGTCACGGTCGTGTTGTGATGGTGTCCCGGTCATGTTGTGACGGTGTCCCGGTCATGTTGCGACGGTGTC